CCCCAAAACCCCAAAACCCCAAAACCCCAAAACCCCACAGTCTTTAAGGATTATTGAAATTTTTAATAAAAATGAATGTTTTGTACTTCCCAAAGGAGGTCCTAGACAAGGCAATCGAGGAGTCATGCAATGATATCTTCCATTCCTTGACTGATGAGAGTCAGATAGGTAAGAATTTTGTGATAGTTTTAAGATGATGACCGACTACAGCATATGAATGAGAAATCTGCAAGGAAGTAAGTGGTTTTAATATCTTTGTGAATGATTTTCTTCTTCACCAGTCCTTTTAAAAGGAAAGAATTTTTATAAGCGTGCATAATGATTTCTATAGTAAAGGGAAATACATCAAATTTGTGGTACATTTATCTACAATTCCTAATGAACGGGTAGAAATCAGCATTGACAATGAATACAGGTATGACTAGTCTGACCTGTAGCATTATGTTCCTTCGTAAGGAGATCATCAGCAAGATCCAGCTCAAGTTGAAGTTCCTCTAAAAGGAATCAACTCTTTAAGGATCACAAAATTGAAATAAAATTGGGCAGTTTGAAAATGTAAAGATTCCGCAAGAAGGAATCGTTAGTGGTACTTTTGAGCCTCAAATCTAGATCATATCCAAGAAGGTGATCAACTTCTTTGTGACTTTGAATGCAGTGAAATCTGGATTAAAGCCAAGATGTACTTTGACTCTCCTGGTAAGAACATTATGGCAGAGTGTAGTCTGAAGTTACAGCTGAACCAGAAGGTTAAGAATTTCAAGAAAATGATGCAAAAGTTTATTTATTGCATTTGGAATAAATTTTGTGCTGAGCAAGATAATGAAGTAATAAACACAACTACATATGTACTTGACGGTTTCAAATTTCTACTGGATGAAGATACTATCGATGCAATGATTCAGCAGAAAGAGGAGAAGAAGCGCAATCCTTCTGACTATGAACCTTCTTTAGACTCACTAGAATGACAAGATAATGATAATCTTAACAGTATTCAAAAAGGAATCAAGCTGACAAAGCTAAAAACTTCCTTTGATGTAATAATGAGCATGAGCAATATTGAAGATACCTTCTCTGACTGTACATGGGGAAAGGATGATTACCAAGAAAGATTTGACAGGGATTTTGGCAAGATTAAAGACTACTTTTCAAACCAGTTCGAAATTCAGAAGAACTCAACCAGTCTTATCAGTGAAGGAGATTATTCATATACAAATTTTAAGCCTACTGATACTACTGGGTGATTGAACCTAATCGAAGTTCGTTGCAAATTTTTGTCTCTAAAGAATGAATTCAGGAGGAGGTTAAATAATCAAATAAAAAGATCACCCGTCCAGAAATCAGGCTCTTTCTTAAATAGTGGTATGTCAGAAACCTAAACTTACATTTTAGGAAATAATCTAGAGAAAACTGCTGAAGAAGATTCACATCATGTGGACATAGAGATGAAGAAAGAGTTAAAACCAAGGACAGTAAAAGTCCTGGATTATCCTAATCCTAAACCCCGGAAGACTTCTAAAGACCTAGAGATATCCAGTTTTGATGAAATAGTTGCCATGACCTCCTCTCAGAATGTAAATGCTTATCAAAGGCGTGGAAGTATGTCATCCCGTAGGTTCGAGTCCCGTCGTAACCAAGTGTTGCCTTACTCTTTGTTCGGCAATATTATCGTAGATGAGCAAACAAATTGGAGAGTGATGAAGAAGAACGAATCTTTGCTTCTAGGTGATGCATTTTTCTCACTCCCAAAGTCATCAGATGTTACTCATTTTGTTGAGAATTCATTGTGAAAGTCTCCTCTAGATTACACCCCAAGGAAATCGAGTCTTGCTGATACTGAGGAGGATTTCAAGGCACTAGATTGCAGAGAAGAACAGGAGAGAATCAAACTAATAGATAAATTAATCGCACAGTATGATCGAAGTTCAAGGTAAAACCCCTTCTTAACTCTTATAGTGAATCTGGAGGAACTCATGAAGAAGAAAAGGTGCTTCAACCATTGATCGAGCTACCTCAAGAGCTTGAAGAAAAAGTTGAGGAAGAGCCGAAGGATATGTATAAGCAATATCTGTACGAAAAATTGGTCGATAAGCCACTTGGTAAGCATCAGGTATCATATCTAGACGGGGTTAACTGTTGCTACAATTATTTAGAAAAGTTTTACCGTGAGGATATGGATATCTCAAGTTTTGAGAACACAAAATTGATGGAGTTAAAGCATAGCTCCTTGGTTGCTCACTCAAGTGGCTCATTGCACCTGAATGATTCCTCAAAAATGATATCGATTCCATTACACAAGACAAGAGATTGCTCAAATTTGGAGAAGATCAGGAAGGTCATCAAGGATAATGACTTCCAGATCTCTGTGCTAGAGTGCATCTGCCAAAAGATTGGGAAACCAGAGGCTCATTTCCAAGAGATGTACGAGAACAGGAAGAAGAGTAATAAGCAGAGATTTAGTAATCTGTTCTTGAGCCTGAGCAATATTGTAAAGCTAGGATATCATTCTAAGACTCAAATAGAAATTGATAAAATAACGAGGGAAATTTTGAAGAGCATTGTAAGTGGGTTTAAAGAATTCTAGATGGATCATTCTGATAATGTTTTGAGATTGGAGGATGATGATTTCCCAGAAGAAATTCCGCAGATAAGAGAGTTCAAGTATCAAAAAATATTGGCCGGTAGGGTTGAAAGGAGAGATGAAAGACAGAGATTTACTTGGGCTTTTGGATTTTAGAAATTAGAGATGTTTAAGTTATTTTTAATGAAATTTTAAAGGTTGGAGTTTTATAAAAGCTAAACAAGAAAGTAAATATACAATTTTATAGCACAAGAAGAAATAATTCCAGAAGACGCATCATGGTTTGAAAGATTTAGAAGGTCAATATCAAGACTTTCAGATTGAATTTGCTGAAGATAAAATCTTTCAATAATTTCTTAGCACAAAGGGGTTTTGGGGTTTTGGGGTTTTGGGGATTGGGG